CTCTTTTGTGTATGAGTGTAGGCTCCCCAATTCTAATTAGTCAAAAAAAAAGGCATTTCCAGATCTGCAGTGTCCCACACTGATGTAGAATCATGTTTCGCACTTTGACCCAACCACATTCATTCCTCTTCACACCACTTGAAGCAAGATATGGGACGGAGAGCACCCCCCCACATACACACACCTTTGTGTTAGTCATTGTTTGATCTGAATCTCAGGAATTCTTTTCAGACATCTAGGGGGGATGTGTCAGGTAACGATAGTCTAGAGAATGTGCCTGTATAGGGATTGGACCTGTAGGGGGTACCCCTCCATCCCATATCTTTGCTGGGTATCATGCCAAAAAGGATTGTTACAAATACTCATTTATTCAACGTACTGTTAGAGTCCTTGAATGAAACCAACTCCCTCACTTTATTCTACCATCGACACTTTAAACTCAGTCCGGCTTGTTGACCCTGGATATTAAGGCCCTTTAAACCTTGCCCATCTTCTTGACTTAATTATTCGTTGCCTTCTGCCTGCACTACGCCTGCGCGTTTATAACCCTAGTATGAAAATCGCTTCTTACTCCTCACTGTTTCCTTTTTCCCTCCCTCCTTTCCTTCAATAGTCTTCTTCATTGGTGGGACTTCCAACAACCTGGAGGATGAGGAGGCAGAAGCTGTTCGTCAACAGCCTGTCGCCATGGCAACAACATCCAGCAGGCATCACTGTGGAAATGGGATTAGACTTTGCTTCACTGTCATCCATTTTAAATGTATGAAAAAGCAGCAGCTGAGGCAAATATTCTTCAGTTCTGTGGTTTGCACATTGTTCTAGAGCATTTGGTTTAATTGTGATGTAATTTTAACATCTTTTCATTACAAAAGCAGCTCTGCTTTGGTATAAGTGTGCAAGTGAACAAAGATAACAGAATGTTCTTGCTGCAGAAGATAATATTGTAATATTAGAATTCATATTTTGGTACTCATCAAGCACAAAATGTGTATTGGTGTTGTTAAGCACAGACGTATAAAAAAAAACTTGGACTTGTAACGCCTTTGTATGAAATAGAAGCCAACCATTGGCCATTTTAATGAGCCAAATACAAATGCGTGGGTTGGCTCACTTCTATTGATGCCAGAAAGAAGAAAGGCGGGCATTGTTGGGAAAGCTTTGTATTCTCAGTAAAATGGCCGCTAGTGGATTCAATGATCTCTATAAGCTGATTAAGAGCATTACAAGTCCAGATTTTTTTATACATGTCCGTGTTGTTAAGCACAAAATGTGAATCATTGTTGTTAAAATGTGTGAGTTTTATCTTCAATTTGCAAGTGAGTTTCTTTTATCAATGAAAAGAGGGTAAGTGTGAATGCATGTGAGAAATAATTATGAAATATCTTATCTGAATGCTGGGGTAGTTCTTTTTGAAGGAATAAAATTGTCCAATTTATGAATTATTTCCCTCTTGCAATTGTAGCCCTGTGTTAATGTTTAAAAGTTCTTTCTTTTTTGGGGGGGGAGTCTTTTGTGTTCTGATGTTATTGTTTCAGTCTCTGTCATATCAAGCCTTTAGCTAAGGTGTGCATGGCACTGGTGCATCATGAATATTTGGCTGGTAACACAATATCAAATAAGAAGCACATGTGACTTAAAATAGTCTAAGCAGATGTGAGTAATTCTATGTTCTTATTGGTCGATACCCACAACACATAATGCCCTATGCATTACAGTTTCTCTACCAAATTGGTAGATAAATGCAAAGAAAAACATAAGTGCTTTCTACAAAATGGTAAAAGCAGTACTAGCAGCTGAGTTGTATGTCGTGTGTCCAGGTAGCCATGTGTGCCTTGAGTGAAGGCTATGCCATAGTATGAAGGGTGCAGTCTGAGAGCAGAATGACTGAGAAGCTTGAGGGTTGCCACTTGAAAAATGGTCTATAAGTAGACCAGTAAAAATGTAATTGTTTAACCGACAAAAAATGTGAAAGAAATTGAAAGGTTAGGGACCAGACAAATTTCATTTTTGTTTAAGGAACCCCAGGGATGTTGGTATGCATGTTATTGGGCCCTGAACAGTGCCAATTTTACACTGATATAAATGGGGCTTGATTTAGTGGAGCAGTACCCTGAAGGGTGCAGACCACTAATTCAAGGGAGAAGTTTCTGGCAAGCTCATTATCATTAGAAGTGCCCTCCACTGTATCTTTTGAAAAAGGAGATTGTTTGGCACCCCAAAGGGTGATATTGTGTAAATTCTTGCCAGGATCAATTTCATGGGGGTTTGGGCTTCCATCTTAGAGCAGAATGGCTGAAAGACACGGTTGGAAATTGTCCTAGGTGCCCGAGAAAGTTGAGGATTGCCACTTGAAAAATGGCTAAATGTAGATTTCGCAACTTCTCCTTTTGGGGGTTGTTTTTTTGTGTGTGAATAATTAAAAATTTCATCGGTTAACCCCCCAAAAAATTGAAAAGAAATAGAAAGTTTAAGGACCAAAGGATAATTCCATTTTTGTTTAACAAACCTCGGAAATGTTGGCTTGCATGTTATTGAACCCTGAAGAATGTTGATTTTTCACTTTTTAATGGGCTTGGAGTACACCCTGAAAAGATAAATGGACAACAGCGCCCTCAGTCGTGACAGTTCAAGATGGCGGCGTGCACAAGCGGCGTCTGCGTCGAGGTTTTGCGCCTTACAACTGCTGTTGTCAGCTGCGGTTTCTTGTTAATTGTTACGCTGCAAGTAGTCCAGATATCGGGCAGCGATTCAGATAGCGACGAATGGGAAGGTCAGTAATGTTAGGCCTCGTATCTGATCTTGCTGATGACTCCACGCTTGCCTTGGTCACTGTCTCAGTGCGCCCCGCTCCCACGTGGGAGCGGGGCGGACGTCGGACCCTAGTAGTGCTGAGGGTATGTCTGAGGCACACCCCCGGCCCCCTGACCGTCATTGAAAACAGGCCGCGCCAAGGGAGGGCCTACATGCGTGACATGATTTAGTAACACGATGAAGTAGCTGTAGCTAAGAAAGCTTATGCAGAGTTTTACTTTAATAGTCATAAAAGTGCTACTGGTTCTTTATATTTGTATTCTACCTGGGTGACACGGCCGGCTACCCACCTTTATAGTGATTTAATACTAATAGTGGGCGTAGTCAGCAACTTGCCACACTAGGTACATGTAGGTTGTGTGCAAGTTTCTCATCTTCACAGCTGCTGATTGCTTTGTCTCCCCCCACACTGTGAACTTGCAGAACTCAAACTCCAAGCACCATGGTCACTATGCCGTGTGACTTGGACGGCTTTGAGTTTGATTTCCCATGGGTTTGTAACGATATGGTATTTTATGCAGCCCTGTATGTCAAATCAGTGTAATTTTCATTTTAACAATTCACTTCTTCAATCAAATCTTCCCTGTTAAAACTGATGCATATGACCTGTGGGTTTGGGACAATGCCACCAATTTTTTCTTGAAAAAACCACTCACCACTTGCTCATTCTGTTAACGAGAACATGCAGACACATCACACATTTACCCCATAAAAAGTCGAAGTCTTCCAAGTCACATGGAAAAAAATCTTTCAACACTTGAGATGTTATTTTACCAGCTCATCACATGGGGAAATTCGTCATATAGTGCTGGAGATCGTGCTCCATCAAAAATGACAGTTTACCCTTTTGGGGCATTTCACCAGCCTATGCCATATGTACATCATTCATTCATTCATTGCTGGTTTATTAATGAAATCTCAATTGCAGCCAAAGGCTAAATTGCTGAGAGTTTTACAAATAAACATTTTAAAAATACAAGAATTACAATATTAATACAGGATTAAACAAAACAGAGAGACAAAGTATTTGAAGAAATAAACCTAAAACTATATGCACGTAGGTATGCTAAAAAGAAATAAATAAGTAAATAGGATATTGATGGACAGATAAGATGTTAAGAATATTACAGGATATTCATCATCTGAGTTAGTAGGAAAAAAGTAGAGCACATAATTAAAAGTCATTCTGATAACAGAGGTGGGCACATGCACAATTGATCTGGGATTCATGTCGAAAAATGGTTAGTCTACAGACAGTAAAAACCCATTGAAAACATTGCAAAGTGGGTTAGATGAAGGCAAGAGCATAAAATGGAGTTACATGTTATTACAATTATTGAAAAGTTGAGTTAAATAAGGTATGAGACTTTTCTTAAAACATTTTGCAAACGACTTTCACAGTTTTAGCCTGCGTTCCTACAATGTATCTAGTTCAAGTGTTTGGAAAGCATTTCTATAAGAGTCATATTCCAAGACAAGAATGATCCTGCATGCCCGTTTCTGCACCCGTTCTATGTCCTCAGAATGTTTACTAGTGATTCCACTTGTCCAAACCGGCACTGCGTATTCTACAACTGGGCGCACAAATGAAATGAAAACGGTAACCAAAGCTTTCGTGGTAAAGTGAAAATGCTTCAATTTACGCAGCATGAAGAGGCGTGAATTACCGCGTCTGTTCATTGAGTTAACTTGTGTATCCCATTTGAGATGAGATTGGATGAATACGCCTAAGAATTTAACTATGTTGCTGTGTTTAATAGTAACATTATTGAGACATAATAAACTTGGAGCTGGTCTGACTCGTGAAAAACAGACGTCCAAAATCTGACACTTAGATGGGTTTAAATGCATCTTATTTCTGATAGACCAGTCATGTAAGTCAACAAGGACCTCAGGGAGGTTAGATCTTACATACATGGCCAGTGTTTCTACCAAGGTCAGATCATCTACATATTAGAAATGTTGAACTCTGGTCCCGATATTGGTCTTATAAAGCTGATATTAACTGTGGCTAAAAAGACTATAGGTCCCAATTTGGTGCCCTGTAGAACACCAGCACAAACAGGTGACCACTCTGAAGAAGAATGACCACACCTCACACGATACACACAATCAGACAGAAAATCAACCACCCAAGCTACAACAGAGGAGGAAACCCCATATATTCAAAAGCTTGGTAAGGGCTGTGGTGTGATCAACTCGATCAAATGCCTTAGAATTCATGTAATTCAGCTGAACCAGAAAAAAGTCATTTTCTGTGCAGCTCATGGTATTGTAACAAAATCACAGATGGGCCACGCCAGTACAAAAATTAGGATCTAGAGGACAATAAAGCTTAAGATGAGCCACTTAAATCAACAACTAAAATGTGAAACAACTGGCTGACTTGCCTTGCTGCTTGAGAATTTTGGCAGCCTCATTTATTTAAGAAAACAGATTTCATATAAATTGTCAAAAAAATTAAATACAGCAATTACATGTAAATTTTGTAGGATCACAGTATATTACTGAGATAGTGTAAGTTGCTACCTGTTTTGAACAGGATTCAACAAAGCTACACGACTTCTACATTTCTGCACATCATGGCCAATTTCAAATACATATGTGTACATGTACAGCATGCAGATTTTGAAATTGCCTAAACTCAGTCAATTTGGGCAACACCCCCCTCCTCCTAGAAATGGACCTAAAAGAACAACAGCCCAACTACTTTGACCTCATGCACAGAAAGAGAATCAAGAGCAAAAGGAATGGCTGGAACGGAGGGACCCAACTTGTAAAGAAAAATATTTACAAAGTTATATTCAAACCCAAAAGATGGACTAGAATGTCCCATTCCTGTGGGTGTCCTCTGGTGTGTCCCAGTCAGAACATTTCCTGCACTCTCTGGTTTTTACTGTAAGGGCTGCCAGATAATTTGTTGGAATGAAGCTACTGAGCACAGTAACACGCAAAACCCTAACACAGCCAGTTTATTTTTGTCCATCTCATGGGGGGGGGGGATTCCCCCAAGAACTTAGCCGTGCCTTGCTTTATTTTTTTTTCAAACTTGGCACGCAAGTAAAGACACTCTTTATCTTTACAAAAGTAAAATTTGAACTCAATCAGACATACAATTTTGTCGATAAAGTCATTTAAATTTCAAGGCTACATGCTTGCCAGCCCGCATGCATTGAGCACAGTGGAAAAAGTGCACATTGAAAAAATGCATGCTGCACAGGAATGGTAGAATGGTACTGTACATGTATGTCTGGTTTTCACAAACTTGGTGTCAAAATGACCACAAGGAGATACTCTCAAACCTCCTGAAGGCTCAACTCCTGAAAAAAATGTACTGCGGCAATATCAGGAAAAATGTTGAAGGGGCGTATCCTCCCCTCGACTCTTTTAAGGTTGATTCAGTAACAAAAGACCATTCAACATCAGTCTCATCAGTCTAAAGGATAAGAATTCTTTCAACAGTTGTGAGCTTAGCATAATGGATGCTTGATTTCTCTATGCCCAGTTGGACTGTTCTATTTTTATGGAACCAGAAAAACAATACTACAGCCCAAAAGTTTAGAACCAGGTCAAGTGGTATGGAGAGCAATCTACATGTACATGTATACACACCCACATTCTGTGAAAGTGAGATAAAATATGCAGCACAAAATGCCTAAAATATTGACAATTCAATTTTTGTTACAGTAGGCACAGGTGTCCAATTTCTCAATACTAACCTGATGAACCTCTACCTTTCAAGCTTGCTACACCACAGCTGTTTCATGACTCAATGTGAGTCATGTGAGTGTGAGTGTAAGCATTTGTACAGTGTTTGTGCAAACCCCTATTTTTGATAAAGCTCGATTTCTTGTTCTAGATGACAATTCTCTCCATGTCACGAGCCTTCTAGAGCTGGATACTTCCAGTTACAATGTACATTGTACATGTTACATATGGCATTGATGTAACTTACATCAATGCCATATGCTTGTACCTCAATGTCATTTGGCCCTGAAAGATCCAAAAGAAACCTTTTTATTTTCACTTGAAAAAAGCATTGCCACAATTTTAATTAATTTATTACATTTCTTGTGCGCCATCTCCATCTGGGAATGTTCAAAGGCAAAATTACAAAGTTACATAAAAATTATAATGAGAATTCATTAAAATTACAGTTAAATACAAATTCATAAGTCTCAAAAATATGAGAAAAATAAGACTTGCTAAATAAGTAAATCAAATTACGGACAAGAGCTAATTCCAACAAAGAGAACCCTACAACGGGACACCAAAGATACTAAATAAACTCAAAATACACACCAGCAAAATACTTAATTAAAAATACAAAGGGTTAAGGCTGAGTATTTTAAGACCTAAATGCCTTTTTGAACAAGTGGGTCTTCAGTTGTTTTTTGAAAGTACCAGACAATTCAACCTCCCTTACTGCAGGCGGTACTGCATTCTACAACTTTGGGACAGCTGAAGCAAAGGCATGATCACTAAAAGAGTGTAGCCTTCTTTCCTGGGATACTCTAGTAGTATTTCACCTGTTGACTTCAGACTATAACGATGGTGGCTTCTAACAGTAAAAAGGTCACACAGATAATCAGGTGCTGAGGAGTGAGTGTAAACAAGGACATGAGATTTAACCGGCAACCAGTGCAATTCTCTAAGTATAGAGGTAATGCTACAACATCTGTTTACATTCGCAACCGGTCTAGCCACAGCATTTGGAACTTTTTGTAATTTGGCAACCATGGACAGATTGCTACATCCTGCCTGCACTGTTTTCCTCGGTCATAAATGATTTCAGTGAAAGTCCTTGCTAAAATGTTGAAATGACATGGAATCTGGGACAAAATATTTCCATTTTTTTTTAGAAATACTTTAAAACTGCACGAAACTCTTAATAGACTTTTAACGCAAATCAGTAAAGTGTTGTCAACAGACTGCAGTATTTTCGTGACAAGTATTAAATTGACCTTCCATAACAGAATGATTGCATGGCCAAGCCACCAAGCGGTGAAGGTACATGTACCTCCTTACATCAGGGTAACCACTCGCCTGTGAGTAAGGCTAATAAATGATTTTGTGGGATCATAATAGGCACTGGCAAGACTTGCCTCCTTCCCCTTTCAGGTTGCCTCTGTCCAGACTATGCCACCCCTACCACAGCATTAGGACTGACTGAGCTACACATAACATACATGGAGGTATTTAGCACTTTCCAAGTGATGTAAAAACATGTATAGTACATAAATGTTCAACAGATACTTTGCTTTGCAATAATCTGTCAGCCTGGTGGAAGAATATTCCACAAGCATAATTTTACCAGCTACATTTTGTGCTTTAACGGTCCGAAAATGTTCTAGACACTGGTATACGTGTCAATCAGTGGTTATACTTATCAGTGGTTATTAAGGGTCTTTAAAAATTAAATTCACTGAATTCTGTGAATTTTTAACTTGGACTTGAAACAATTTAAAATGTTAAATTGTCTATATATTTTGCTGCAGTGGTGCATACTCTCAGCATTTACTCATAAATTCAAATTTAGTTTTGTCCTAAAAAGTTGTCTACATTTCTCATAAAGTGCTGTTTTTATTAATTGTGATTTGTAATCATTTATATCCATATATAGCATTCTTTCTGTGCCGTCAGTGTGGTCATGAGGTTGCCAAGGCAACTGACTTTATCAGACAAACAAGTACTTTATCGCTGCATCAGCGGAATGATACCATTCTGGGAGTGGACAACGTTTTACTTCAACGCTTCAAAAACCCTCAAGGTAAATTAACAAATATACATTTAGCATTGCAAATGTTTTGTCTATAAATTTCTACGTATGCCTACATGTACACATTTGAACATCTAAAGTTAAGATTAATGTGAAAAGATTGTTTTGCATAATAGAAGATGAATATTGTTTAATCAGCGAAGAAAAAAGTGCAATTAAGGCCCGGTAACAAAATAAATAAAAGTACATACATGTGGTTTCTCATTCACATTTTTAAAATTTAGATGATGGTGGTGGTTTGTTTCTTATTCCTTTTGACATACGCAATTTTGATCCCAGATCAAGGATAGATCTCTCAAATCTTTCATTGATCTTTTTGTGTCTAAAGTGACAGAGTCAAATCTTGTTTTAAACAAGTCACAACTCGGGTATAGCTATTTTTTTTCAAGGAGATGAGGTGGTAAGGAAGAGAGTACTTAGGCAGAGAACACGACCCTACTAAAATTATTTTACTCAGCTTAATATGCAAAGTTGTTAGCACTATTGAAGCCACTATTTGACAACACACCTGAAAACTTTCCCTTATGAAATAGGCATGGACTGTCGGTACGAGAACAGCCAGATGGAACATTGTCAGCATATTTTTGAGCAAAGATTCCAACGAGATTCAGATAGCAAGGGAAATCTTCATGTTTCTCTATATAGTGACCACTTGTGACTGTTACTACAACAGTAAGCTGCACATCCGTAAAAGACTAGTTCACGTACTAGATTTAGAATTGGAGGGTTTTTTTATTATTTCAGTGAAAAGAATTGTTCAGTTATAATTGTAACTTTCTGCCTGTTCTGTGAACAGGTAGAGAATTTGAACTGATCACAACCAGACATGCTGATGTTAATAAAGCTGAACAGGTAAGTTGTTTGGAGTGATACTCACAGTTCATGGTAAGTGTAGAAAACAGCTGATATCTAGACTTTTGTGGATGTGGACTTCTACCGTGCATTCACAGTGCCACAGCACCGTATGGTACATTGTCTTCTCTGTTGCGTTTTATGGCTTCAGAGAATAATAATGTCATGTCCTCTTACAAGTGACAGGGCTGAGTACTACATTTTACTACTAAGTAGTACTTTGTAGCATTCGGGACTATTAGGGTTAACATGGTAATGTATCAGTGTACATGTACATCAACCGTGTACATGTCTACAAGTATATCTGTATTTTACTGAGATTAGAAATGTTAGTCATTATAGTGTTACAACTAATGCCACTAAATTCATGCCCGTGACAAAGCGATTTTTAATTCAAGCCTAAATCATTGCTCTGTGGAGCTGGATCACAAACAAAATGAGACTGCTTTTTGCACTTGGAGCAAGGTAAACTACCAGCATTTTGTACCTACATATAGCATGTAAAATAAATTCATGCACCTGTTGTTCATGGCATGTTTCTCACTCATTAGTCATTTGATGCATGTGTAAGTACCGTATTAACAAATTCTTGTGAACTCTACGTTTGTCAAAACTGAGAGTTTGGTTTATTACCTGGTATACATGTACTTTATCCTCAGTATATGTGTACGTATTTGTCTCTGAAGGAGGTGTCTTCTCTGAGGGTACATGTACATGTATGTAGGTTGCATTTCACCAAGGCTAAGACATGGTGGTTTGTGAATTTAATCATATTACTTATTTTAAGTCCAAATTTGTTTAATTTTGTCACAAAACAAACAGATAAAGGAAAACTTTTACACATGCAGCTACAGTAATTCGCTTGCTTTTGAATAGACATTTGAGCCACACAGAAGGGTGCTTGTTGTGCACTGTAAGGTTTCTTTGCCTCAAAGGATTTCTTGCTGTTCAGTCTGCTCATCTAGTTGGCCTGAGGTGTCTAGGCTCTGATGGATGTGGATTTCTACCTGGTCTGTGTCCTGACAACAGGCATCTTGGCCTTGTTTGATTTCTTGAAGTTCACTCTGGTCTTCTGGTTGGTGAGGTTTTTCTTGACGGTGATGGATGTGTACCTCTACTTGGTAAGTTTGTTGTGGTGGTATTTGTTGGCCATGATGGATTCCTTGCTGTTCAGTCTCTTCCTCTAGTTGCCAGGGAGCATCTTGACTTTGGTGGATGTGGACTTCTACTTGGTCTGTGGGCTCCTGTGGAACATGTTGATCTTGGTTGATAACTTCCTCTTCCTCTAGTTGATGTGGAGTGTCTTGGCTTCCATTGCTGGTGTCTTCTACCTGGTCTGTTGGCTGCAGGCAGACATCTTGATCTTGGTGGTTTAGCCGCAGCTTGATTTGCTCTTCTGGCAGCTCCCTTGTGTCTTGACTCCTTAGGGTTTCTTGTACATGTAGTCTCATTTGTTCAGGTGGTTGCTCTGGAGTATCTTGGTATCTTCTGAAACAGTGGCAACAGCGTCTTGGATGGAAGCAAGGGAATGCCTCCATGAAAGCTTCTCGATATTCTGAATTAATGCCACTGTACACCAGAGGATCCACTGAAGAACTGATTAATTGAAGGATAACTCCAACTACTCTAATAACATTTGATGAATGAAGCTGTTGAATTTTGCTCAGGGTAGACAGATTGGACCATCTGATGACTAATGTCATGATAACATGTGCAATTTGTGCAGTATTAAAAGTGAAAAAGAGAGCAGTGTTTACAATGAGCATGACAAGCACTCGTCGTAGTCGATAGTTGTCATCATGTGTCGATGTAAGTTGTGGTTGCTGCCTTAGTTTCTTGATAACACAAGCATAAAGGAAGGCAATGATCAGCAGACAAGCTGTACTTACTGACAAAATCATAGCGCAACCAATGTTCAGTCCAATATCTCCTCCCCAGTAGACGACTGACCGATATGCAGATCCTGTGATGGCTGCAAGGGTCCATAGTTTTGCCAGTCTTTTGGCAGCCTGAGCTTTGCTGGATTCTGCTCTGTGTCTCAGTGGATGGCAGACAGCACAGAACCTCTCAAAAGCCAATGCCGTTATTATGAAAAATGAAGCCATGGTGCTCGAAATAGAAATGCTCTCCAGAACGAATTTACACACCGAGCTGTCGATGGGCCCCGTCGACCAAATGAAATTAACTGTGATGTATATGCTGTCAGCCACTACTAGATTGCCCAGATAGACATTGATGACAGTTCGCATGGATCGAACACGTACAACAACGTAGAGGAATGTTACATTTAACAAGAGACCAATTGGTGCCATGCACCAGTTAGCTTTATTGATGATGCCATTAATGATGTAATCTTTCTCTTTATATTCCTTCCAGGCCTCAGCTATCTCTGTATTCCCATCCATTGCTCCCACATTGAACTTGCCAATTCAAATAGATGGCAAATGACGAAATGTCCATGATCGAGTACTGAACTAATGGTACATGCATGTGGTCTAGTTCTCTGCCAATAAACAGGCTTAAGTGTGTCTTCCATCTTGAAATGATCTGACGAAAACTTGTGCCAGTGTGTTGCCGTACATGTAAGTGACCAACGTGAGCGTAATCATTTTGGCAAAACTGAAACTGTAAATTTCTGAGATCATATTGCACTTTGTAGTCACGTTAATGAGGTCAAATAGCCTTTCCAAAAAGGTCTGCACATTGAAAAGCAACCATTTCCTCAATCTGTTTGTCTTCTGATTTTCTGTTGAGGTTGTACTGTAGGAACTGGGCATGATGATTTCAGTGATATTTTGAATGATTTAATTGCAGGAAGCAGACTTTTCATGGGATAAAATAAGTTCTGCAAAATCTGTGAATAATTTGCGATGGACTTCCATTCCTGATTTTCATTTATCTTAAAGATTCATCATGCAAATAATTGAAACTGGAGACAATTTATTTGCTGCTGTCTGATTGGCTGTTTTCCTTCATTAATACGCATAAAGAACCACCTCATTTGAATACTTTTTCAGATCACTATATTTTGTGTGAAGCTTCTGAAGATATCCCAGCTCATCTGTCTGCTCACAAGTTTCAAGTCAAAGCATTCAAATTGCTCAGAGGCTTTTTGTAATGACGTTAACTAAAGAAATTTAAACATACAGAAAATTGTCCATTTATTCAGCCATGAAAGTGCCATGGGGACTATTGAAATCTTCCTTTAAGTTTGGTACTAAATTGGTAGCTTGCATTTATTGCCATTATTTCAGAGAGATTTGCTTCATATATGATTTCTATCACTTCAATCTTTGCTTTCTGTCAGGGTTTTCTTAGTAGTTTCAAGACAAAGCTTTGAGAATTGTACCTACCGGTACTTGGAATTTTGTCAGCGTGAATTAATCTTTTTGAAACTGAAACAGTGACAAGAAAACCAAGTCACATTGAACTTTTTTGATTGGAGAGGTTTTCATAACCAAAACTAAAAGCTCATGACTGAAACTAAGTGTGCCAGGGTACGGTATTCCTTTGTGCAAAGAAGCACTTTTATGGTGCTGTGCGCTTTCTTTATGGAGATGTGCGCTTTCTTTTCATCAGAACTAAAACAACATGTGCGTTGCTAACTTGCCAGATGTAGTAACATGTACATGTGCTGGAATGAATGCATGACATGTACATGTACCGGGTATGACCAAAAAATGGTCCCATATGTGACATCACGGACATGTTGCCAGATACTGATATTGTAACGGGACACCAGTACATAAATAATCACAAGCAAAATTGCCTTCTGGTTTCACATTTTTATTTACAGAAAATATTCCAACGGAAATGGCCCAGGCAAAGAAAAGGGACATGCAGGGTGCGAAACCAAATTAAGGGATAAACTAGACAGCTTCCAACAAACTTATACAAAAATAACTCACAAATTATACATGATTGGTAGCAAGCCGTCCAGCAGGGTGTGTCTGCAGTCACAGTTGGCACAGAAAGGCCCTACTCATTCCTGGAGACACCAACTTAAGTAAGGAAACTGAAACAAAGAACATTCTTTTGCAATAGCTGGAGGCACTCCCAGACCCAAACCCAGTTAAACTACAAAAGCAACAAAGAGACTATATAAAGAAAGAATGGGTCTGGCCAGAGTGGCCAAGACCACTCTGGCACTCCCAGACCCACACATAGTTAAAGTACATTCAGACAATAGAAAAAGCAACCCTGGATGAGAGTTATTTCCATTACAACATTCCTGTCATTGCTTATTAACCCTGCTGTACATGGTGTTGGAAGAATGTGAAGTGTAAAACGAAACACTATAAATAACAAAGGCTTTAAGAGATTCATTCAATATCTAGCTATTTTCTAACATACCTTAGATGTGGAATGTATGCCAACAGAGATATGAACATTCTACTTAGTAGCTTATTAAAATTTGCAGTGTCTTGATGGAGAAATTAAAGATTAAAAACACCTTCTTTTGTGAGATAAATGTAGGTGACTTGTGATCAACAGTATTCTTGCATTATTCAGAGCAATTACTATAAACCACTGGCAGCACTGATTTCCTCTAGCTTAGGGCGCTGTTTGTAGCTGCTACTTATTAAATTTTTGCTTTGTTTAATTCTGCGTGACTCCAACTGAAGTGTTATTCTTTGTCACCTCTATTCATCCGAATATCAGAGGCATTAGTTGTGTAAGATGACATGTACATGTACATTTGGGAATATTCCATGCACCCTTTGCAGTTCACTCAGGGCTTGAAGAAGCTGTCCCGAGCGGGACTTAATCCATCTAAGATGGCATTAGTTAAATGGTCCAAATATGGGTAAACTAGTCTGGTTACGTACCTGGTCATGACCCTCTGCAGGACATTACCATACATGTATTTATGGACGTTCCTCTCAATCCAGGCCGAACAGGTAGGCTGTGCACAAACAACAGTCATGACAGTTGTAGTTCTGTTAAGAATTGCTTGCTCTCAAATCATGAAAGTAAAACCTATACCTGCAGTCAGTTGT